CCCCAAAACCCCAAAACCCCAAAACCCCAACGCCAAACAAAATTGAGGTGATTTATATAAAAGAAATTATAATTAATAAAAATGATAAATGCAAAGCAGATATTGAACCCAAAGTTCAAGTTTTATAGAGATATTAGCTAAATTTTAATCAGAAGGGATAATGGCTGCATTCTTAATATGTAAATCTAATATACTTCAAAGTTAATCTCATAGCAATCAAGATTATATGAGTTTTGAAGTTGATAGCGACAGTATTAAACTTAGTGAATCAATGTCAAAAGTATGCTTTAAATATATTGAAAATGGTTTTGGTCAATATAAAATAGATGACTGATCAGAGAGAAATTTATGGAGTGTTTGGAATTAAGGAAATTTCTGATACCCTTTATTTGATGCTGATTGAAGAATGTACTTTGATGGGTTAGGTCAATAACTCTAACATATTTAGAATTGAAAAGCTTCTCTACATTCCAATAAGCAGATCATAGTCAAATCAAATGTAAGTCTACCCCCTTGATTTCACCTGACTTTAATATAGATCAAGATAAGCAAGACCATTTATTCAAATGATAGATAAAATAGTTGCTGAAAAAGCATTTTATTTTTCCTACGATATGGATTTAACAAAATCAATCTAGTAGAATGTAAAGAGCTTTATTAAAAATACTAAATAATCTGACTTAGAAAAGCTGAAATCACTTTATCCAAATGTTATTGAATACCAGCATAAATATGCCTTTAATGATCATCTATTCAATGAAATTCCATCAAATGACTATGCCCCATTTATTGTTCCTTGCATTTATGGATTTGTTTATATTAAGCCAGTGCAGCTTGAATCAACAAAACTTATATTGACTTTGATCTCTAGAAAAGATTGTAGAAGACCTGGTAGAAGATTTATTTCTAGAGGTATTGATGAAAACGGAAACGTGTCTAATTATGTTGAAACAGAGCATCTTATTACTTATTATGATCAATAAAAATTAAGAGTAGCTTCGTTTGTCCAAACAAGAGGTTCTATTCCTTTAATTTGGAGTCAAAAACCAACTATGAAATATAGTCCAGCTGTTAAAGTGAATCAAAACATAGATGATTCTTTGAAATACGCTAGAATCCATGTCAACGAATAAAAGGATTCCTTTGGAGACTAAGTTTTTGTTAATCTTATTGATAAAAAAGGTACTTAACTTAGAATCGGATAGTAATTCACCAGACTAATAGACAATCTTGGTGACTAGTAAGTTGATTACACTTGGTTCGACTTTCATCATGAATGCAGAAATATGAAATATGAAAACTTGGCTAAGCTATTGAATATTATCTAGGATAAAGTTGATAATTTTGGATATTTCTAAGCAGTGTTAAACTTTGGCTTTGACAAAAGAGATAAAATTGATTAGAACAGTGTGACTATAATGAATACTTAAAGAGGAGCTGTAAGAACTAATTGTATGGATTGTCTAGATAGAACGAATGTCTTTCAATCAGTGTTAAGTAGATAAGTTTTGCACAAGCAAATTTGGAAACAAGAATCAGCAGCAACAAATGTTTTGAATATTCAGCCATTCGAGAAATTTTATCCAAGCCTAGAAGATTCTTTTAGAGAAGCGTGGACTAACAATGCTGATGCTTTAAGTATACTATACTCAGGTACTCCTGCATTGAAAACAGATTTTACCAGAACTGGCAAAAGAACTCTTAAGGGAGCCTTAAATGATGGAAAAAATTCAGTCAAAAGATACTATATCAACAATTTTTGTGATGGTTTTAATCAAGATTGCTTAGATTACGCTTTATGCAAGTTAGATGAGAAATAGATAAGAAAAAGATCAAATCTGTTTACTTCTTTAAGACTAACTTTGCTTTCTGTAATAATTCTTAAATTTTTTACACTATCTAGTTTGGAGTAGGCCTTATTTTCTTGAGAATATTTATGAAATCATACTTTCCAATTGAAGATAGAAATTTCAAGTAAATGATCTTCCATGGCATCGTCTATCTTTTCAGTTTCTTTGCTGGTTTCCACTAGATATACAGTAACCATTATAGATGATGTTTACAAATTTAAATAGGCAATGGTAAAAGATTTGTTGATGAGCCTTCAAGACAACTTTGACATAAAATCAGATTAAATGATGTTACTTCACTGGTGTGAATATGAAGAAAAAATAGATTCACAAAAGAAAATTGAGAAATGATTTTGTTGTTATATTGATATTGATATCGATTGGAAATTTTTAATTAAGCAAATTTAATTTGAAATTATATGACTTGGGGTTTTGGGGTTTTGGGGTTTTGGGG